TGTCTTTCAATGGATTGTATGAGGCCTGCCCACACCATGGAAGATGGACCAAAATGTCAGTCTTGTCTAGGATGATACTTGACCAAATGTCTGGGTGCTGTGGCTCAGCCAAAAGGACTCATCAGATTAACTGTCACAGGCAGTCAGATGTCCTAGGTGACTGACATGTCCCTGATGGGGACAGTGTGTCAGAGAGAGGGAAGAGTCTCTCTCCTTGTTGGAGGAAAAGTGAGGTGGTTGGCCGTGGGGTTACCTTGGGCCATAGGAAGTAGGTGGGGTCTTCTGGGGCCTTCACTACCATGATGACAGTGTTCATGGTCATTTCCAGGCTCAGAGATGGAGGCTGTTTTGTAGGACAGTTTCTGAAGAGGAGCCCCCTGTCTCCTGTTGGTTGCGTTGGTGTGGCTTGGCTGGAGATGCCCGTGTCCATGGGCAAGCTTGTGCCACCAGAGCCCGTGGAATCAGGCCGCAGCCAAGGGGAGACAGCTTTTCCCACATGTGCCTTCCCTTGCAGATTACCTGGCACCTGGGAACCACCGTTGGAAAATGCCTGCTAAGTGGCCAGGCCACACTCCAGCTTTCTGCATGGTACCCTTTGCCTTTTCTCTCTGAGAATGTGGTCTTTGGGGGTACACTCACAGGGCTTGGTGCCAACCAACGAGGGTGTGGCCAGTGATGTCCAGTGTGGCCACCAGGGCCCGGGGAGGTGCGCATATTCTGGAAGTGAAGGGGAAGGGGACACAGAGGTCCCATTCTGAGTTTGTTCACGGAAGCGAAACATGTCAGGGTTTAAAGGGCAGACGCTCCAAGAGCTGGGTGCTGTGTTTGGAAGTGGGTTTGGTGTCATGTGATTGTGACAGGGTTGATAAGGTGGTTACAGAAAGGCTCCTGCCCCCCACCCCTGCTGCAGCAGGGCAAGGATGGTGTGAAGGTGGGGTGGGCCCCCACCCCCATCAGTCCCAGGGGTGTCCTCACATGCGCCTGCCCCGGGGTGCAGTGAGTGCTTTCTGATTCACACCCCCCCCATCCCCTGGACTACTCAGGCTTCTTCCCCTCCATGTGGCTTCCCATACCCGGGGAGCTTGGGCATGGCTGGGGTAGGGAACCTCGCTAGGAGAACACTGGACCTCTCGTCTGTCAAGGCTTTTCGTTAACATGAACTCTTGCCTTGTACAACATCTGAAAATTAAAGAAAAAGAATCTGCGTGACAGGAACTTCCAGAGCCTGAGGGAGCCTTCGGTCCAGGGCTCACCTTGCTGCGTCTCTGAACAGGCTGGCAGAGATGGCTTCCGGAAGGTGATGGAGAGGGAAAGAAGGGGAGCCCCCTGCCTCTGTGCTCAGAAGAGCTCTCACTCCTGCTCTGGAACTTGCGAGTTGGACCCCGTGACCCCTCTCTAAAGCCAGTTTGCAGCTCCCCTCCCCTGCCCTCCTGCGCACCTGAGCTCGCCTGTCACAGCCCTGTAGGGACATCCTTACTTCTGACAGGACCTAACAAACAAGGGCTGGGCCCTTAGCTCAGGCCCCTGGGTACCTGCCCAGCTGTCCTGAGCACATATGGGTACCTTCCACACCCAACTCCTTTCTGGTCCTGGATTCTGCCCCAACCCTGAGGGATGGTGGGGCCACAGGGCCCAGCCAAGTACAGAAGGGCCACAGGGCCTTGGCATGGCTGTGGGCAGGCCTGGCCCCTCTCCGCTTGAGGTCCTTCAGTTGAGAGGTTTCTAATGAATCTTCAAGGGACCCCACAACCAGGAGAGTACCCTGTACAGATTCACAGCCAGGATACCTGGGGCTTTGCCCACATGCCCTCCTGGGGACAGGGAGCTGGCTTCTGCACATCCACATTCTAGAGTCCTAGGTGGGCCTGTGGAAAGGGTCTGAGTCAGGTCTCTGCTTCCTTTCCTCCATGAGAACAGCCTCACTGTGAATCTGTCTCCCCCTCAGCACTGGGAGAGGGGGAAACTGGTTTGGATTTCTTTTGAGCCCCCTTGGGCACTGATTGAAATTGATCAAGACCTTAAGTTAGCTCTCCTGTGGACATACTTCTTAAACACGGAGCATTTCTTATTGCTTACTGACTAGATTTTAAAAAGAGGTTCATCATTTCTGGGCCCCAGATCTGGGGCCCCCCAGCAATGGATTCTGAGGCATTTTACAGTTTTCATACCATCTACTCCTCCTTCCCTGAGTGTCTTTGAAACCTAGAATCTGTATCCTGCTAGACTGGCCTCACTTAGCTATCTTCACAGCCGGCTCTACAGCCTGGGATTGGAAAATGTGCCTGAGCCTGTGTATTCTGTGGTGTAGCGATGGGGCAGGAAGCCAGGCTCTGAGCTTGCCTCTCCCTTCCCTGGTGCTGGCTCTGGCCATTGCCTTGTGCTCACCCCCAAAGCACAGAGTACTTTCCACCCACCCAAAGCTGCAGGAAGGAAGGAGCATGCGGCCATCTGCAGGGTGCAGACATTCAGGTGTCATGTGGTTTGGACATGCTGTCTGGGGTCTGGGGACCACAGTGGGAATTGGTTTGGTCTCGTCTCCCAGGCACAGGAGCTAGACGTCTGTGCCCTTTCTCCCCACCATCCACACTTGGGCCCCTTGCTGTGCTCATCTTCTGCCCTGCTGGACATCAGGTTTCTGAGGAGTGACACAGATACCCACTGATGCCTGGGTCTACACCTTAAGGAAGATGCTCAGAATTTCAGTTCTCTGTCTTTCCAGCACATTCTGAGCATTTGTACATATCAGGCAAGAAATCAGACTTAAGGGCTTTTTCAAAGACCTACCTCCCTATAGAGACCAACAAAAATAGTGCTGGTCCTCATAGCAATGACTACTGCGTTGATATTGTTTGCTAGCAACTGAATAATCAGCGAACAAATTAAGGTAACCGGTGTCCGCCCGTGTAGGAAAGGCGAGCCGTTTTGGCAATGAAGGATAGAGTCCTGGTTGTGCTGGGGAGCAGGGTCCTAGGTGGGCCTGTGGGAAGGGTCTAAATCAAAGGAAAGCTCTAGAAGTCTGACCCTGGTCACAGGGGAGGTACAAAAGGAGGAGAACTGAAGGGGTGGAGGGGAACTGGAGGCAGCCTGGGTCTTTTCATTAGGCTGTACATTGCCTTTTGGGGGACTCTGGAAGGTTCTCCCACCTGATCCTTACAGGGGGCCTGGAGCTGGGCACAGCGAGGCCATTTTAACAGTTCTGCAGATAGAGGCACTGAGGTGTCGGTGGTGTGAGTTACACACAGTGTCACTTGGGCTACGTGGCTAGAACACTCCTTGCTTCTGAAATCCCCTGGGACTTCCCTCAACCCAGGGTACAGAAGCCTCGAGGACCCTGTTCCCAGAAGACTCTTGCCTCTCCTGCTTCCCCAGGAGTCACCTGCCTCGGCTGGGGGCTGACTGACAGCTGCCTCTGGCTGCAGCCAGCCCTGGCCTGGGTGGGGAGGTCACTGTGTGTGCTGCAGGCTGGCCTCTTCCTTCTCAGCTGCAAGAGCCAGAGGATGTTAAAAAATGTCCCTGAGTAGCCAGCCCCAGGGCTGTGCTGGGAGGGGTGGCATGTGCTGGGGCCCTGTAGGCACGCTGGTGAGGTGCCGGGGGAGAGGGAGCAGCTGCCAGGCTCCAGATGGCCAAGACCCCAGGGGACTTCCGGGGTCACCATCCAGTCAATGCTGTGACACCCACCAACGGCCCAGAGCCAGTCGATAGCCATCCTCATCTCCCGGCCGCCTCGGAAGTGGATTTACAGCGACATGATAAAAATGAGGCTGTGTGATCAATGGATCCCTGGACGTCTCCTCCAGGAGACACCGACGTATATTGTAACAAAACTTTATTTTCCTCTGAAAATTGCCTACATGATTAATATGGCCTGACACAGCCCAAGCTGTTCCGCATAAAAAACAGCCTTTCCTGGCTTCCTCCTCGGGCTGCCCCCACCCGCCGCCCTTCCTCTCCTTCCTCGGTTCTCCCTGCTCAGGGAGCTCTGTGTGGCTCTCACGGGGAGGGTGCTACTTGGCTTTGTTCTGGGCTGGCACTGCAGTGGCTGAGACTGAGCATGAACAAGATCCAGGGCTGTCTGGATCCAGCAGTGCTCCTGGGACAGCCGTGACAGGGCTCCCGGCTCACTCCTCCCCACACCACCTGCCACGCACCAGAGGGCACAGCCCAGGTCCAGCCTGCCTCGGGCAGAGGGATCTTGCCCTCTAACTCTGTCCTCGAGCTGCTGTGGTGGCCTGGTGCTCCTGCCCTGGAAAGTTTCGGAAGAGTGGCCCTGGGCAGCACACTCCCCAGGCAGAGGCCCCTGCCTCTGCTGGACATTGGCAGATGTGTGTCCCCTCTGGAGTGGCATCTCTGGGAGGGCAGGCAGCACTGTTGAGTGCTGGGCCCACCAAGGGCCCAGATATGGGAGGAATAGACCCTGGAGCTCAGATCTGAGAGCAGATAGTGCATTTTGGAGGTGAGGAGAGTACTGCTGCATGAGGGGGGAGCCGGACTGGGAAGGGAGGACATCCCAGGGCGTGTTAGGCCGACTGCCACCGTGGGGCTGGGGACATGCTCTCCAGAGGAGGGTCCTGGGCATTGCTGCTTCCATTCCAGCAGTCCTTGGGCGGGGGCTCTGGGCCCAGGGGTCATTGCCTAGGTGGAGCATAGAGTGTCCAGTTCAGGACAGACGGGCTCCAGAAGGGGGCTCTGGGCGGGCATGCACCAAAGCTGGGCCAGGAGGTATGGGGTGCGAGGGGGATACGGGTAGGACAGGTGGGTATGGACCGGAGACTGATGCTTCCCCTTTGCTTTGGGGGCACAGACATGGAAAAGAAGACCTGAACCCTGAGTACTCCCCTCCTTGGGTTTCACTCTCAGTTCTTAGACAAGGGAGGCCTGGAGGGACCCATGGTGCTGGCCTTGGGAGCGCTGTGTGATGGAGTGGCTGGATCCTCCCGTGTCCAGTGGTGCAGCACGACCTTCCCGCTTCTTCTGACCGGCTTCCCCTTCTCTGTCCCCAGGTGTAAGGAGCTCAAGTACTCCAAGGAGCTGCCCCAGATCTCCATCATCTTCATCTTCGTGAACGAGGCTCTGTCGGTGATCCTGCGCTCGGTGCACAGTGCCGTCAACCACACGCCCACACACCTACTCAAGGAGATCATCCTGGTGGACGACAACAGTGACGAAGGTAGGCCCAGCTGCCTGCGGTGGCCCATGTCGCCTGGAAGGAGGTGCCACCTTCCTTCCCAGGATTGCTCCTGGAGCACCGAGGGAGAGGGAGGTGCTCTGGAGGGAGAGTCTGGGCTGACGCTGGTTCCTTACTGCTGGACTTCCTGGGACTCTTAAAATACGGGCCAGGGTCTAGAGCAGTCTCCCTTTCTCTTACATAAAAGAGTGATGGTGAAGGCCTGAATACCTCCGACCCCCGCTCCATTGTTCTTTTCTAAGAAGTGGATAACTAATTCTGTCCTGTTCAGGAACTGCTCATCTCAATCAGAATGGCCTTCTGGGCCATTGGGCCCAAAGCCACCATGGGTCAGAGAGAGCGGTGTTTGTAGGTCGTTTGGAATTCAGCACTACTGGGAGCAGTCGATCAATTTAAAAAATGAAACAAGCAAATACCAGGTGGCAAAGCCAAATTTCCCTGGAGGTCCTGGGAGACGAGGTGCGCAGTGAGGAAGGTGGGCATTGCGGAGCGGGCCTCTCTGTTGGTGCCTGGCCCGTGTAGGCACTGTGCCTGCTGCAGGGAGGAAGCCCGCAAGCTCTCCACAGCCAGGACAGCCAGCAGTGAGCCCACCTGACGGCCGGGGGCTGCCTCTGAGCAGCCGCAGGACAAGGAGAGAACACCCCTGCTTCCAGCGTGCTGAGCAGAAGGGTCACCCCGCCAGGCACTGGGGTGGGGAAGAGGGCAGCTGTGGGGGTCCTGTTTACATCCCGGTCACCTTCAGGAGCCGAGGCTGCTCTGCCCCTGCTGACCGCCCACTGTTCCCAGGGGCCTTGAGTACCAAGCCGGGCACTCTGCCTTCTCTGGACCTCAGGTGGCTTGTGGACGCTGTCACTGGTGGACTCTCTTCCCTGGTGTCTTCCTTCATGTTGGGCCATCTTATTATCCGTGAGACCTGACATTGGTGGTCTTCTTGGGAGGAAGAAGTTCTTCCAGGATTGAAGCTTCTGAATCATCGGGCAGGTCTCTCCTGACCTGACCTGGGCCCTCTGCAGGTTCCGTGCTGTGCATCAGAGCTGGCCTCCGGCCACTTCAGCAGTACTCACAGGCACCTCCTGAGACCCCTGGCCTGTGCCCCTCCTGGGACCCCGTCCTGTACCCATCCTGCTGGCTGAGTCCTGCTGGTTCTCAGGTGTCCCCAGTGTGTCCCCTCCTTTGCAGCCCCTGAGGGCATCCCTGCTGGCCATAGTGCTCACTAGCTGTGACTTTGGGGCGTCTCCTCAGCTGGGCTCCCCGTGCTTGGTGGACTTTGCTTCAGGGCCCAGCTGGTGGACCTTCAGTGAGTCTCACCCAGTGAGGAGATGGGTGAGGAAGCCCAGGAGGCGGGGGCTGCAGCCATGCAGTTGGAGGTGGCACAGACAGCTGGAAACCCCGAGCTGGTGACTGCCAGTCAGGCTGCACTGGGCTGAGGATCCCGCTGGGTGCCTCCCTGAGAAGAAGCTCATCAGGGCCAGCAGAGGAGGGATGGGAAGGCCAGGCGGGCTGGGAAGGCCAGGCGGGCTGCTGGTGCAGGCCAGCACTTGGTGCCCTGTGCTCAGCAGAGGTCTTGGGCTGGGCTATCCTGGAAGCAGGCCCTGAAATCAAGATCTCGGTGCAGAGGGCTCATTTGGACTCAAGGACAGCACCAGGAGCTGTGGGGCTGTGGGGAGCAGGGAGGGGAGGGAAGGCAGCCCCCAAAGACGGTGTGCAGCAACAGGCGCAGAACCCCAATGGGCAGTGCCAGGAGCCATGCCAGCTGCCCCAGGGTGAGCCTGCATCGGGAGCCACCGTGCTCAGGCCCCTTCAGCACTAGGCGCTGTAGCAGCATATGTTTCTGGGGCTCACCACGAGCAAGCTCTACTTCCAGAGCCCTGTGAGGACCAGGGGTCAGAACAGGCAGGCCCTGAGCCTCTCTGGTGCCAGTTCAGGTCTGAACAAAGACGATCCATGGTGCAGAGGGGGAGCAGAGGTCCTAGGGCCAGTCAGACCTCCAGGCCCATCCCTGTCCCCTCCGCCCTGGCCCCTCAGTACCCAGGGCCGGAATTGGCTCTGCTAGCACCATTGCTTCCCATTACTGGTCTAGTCTCCATATTTTCTCCAGAATGCCTTCTCTCTAACTAGAGGAAGAATTTATTTACTTTTTATTTTATTGAGATGTGCTTTTGTACCGAGCATTATCAAGTGTTATAAATGTTCTCATCTACGTGAAAAGCCCCCCACACCGTAATCATGGAATCGAATTCCTGCCAGACATGAGTTTTGTGTATGTAGAAAGACTAGGAGTTTATTTTCTCAAGTCTTGTCTGAGAATGGTCTTTTAAAATTGCCGTGCACAGTGACCATTCCTCTTTGTGTTCTTAATAATATTTGGTTTATGCCTCTTGTGTTGGTTTCTCTGGCAGCTACCGATGGTGTCTGCACGCCCTTGTTATTAGTGGTGGTGGTGATCACCATGTGATGCCCTCTTTATCTTAAAAGCATCCCTTTTTTTTTTTTGCCCTGAATTTAGTTCTTCTAACATTAATATTGCCATCCTTGCCTACCTTCCGCTCAAGTTTGATTAAAACGTTACTTTTCCAGCCTAACAGTTTTGTTTTCTAAACTTAAAAGTAATGCATGTTCTTTGCAGGAAAATATGAATATATGGAAAAGGAAATATAATGGGAAAAAGCAAACACTGAAGAAACCAGCCAGAGGCAGCTGCTCCTTCACATGCCCTAAGCCCTCTTAAATGCCATCTTACATAGTGAAGATCACAGAGTATAAAACAAGTCCATTCTCGGCTTTTCTCTCTCTGACGTATAAGCATGATCAGTTCCCATTTTATTAAAAAAGTGCGAAGGCATCATTTCAATGAGGTTAGAGTGGCCTTTCTCTGGCTGCACGAGGCCATGGTCCAGCTTGGCCCGGGGGTGGGTGAGAGGAGCCAGGTGACTCTACATCAGCCCAGATGAGACGGGACGGCTGCATTTCCGTTGTTAGGGTGCTTGGTGGTGATGATAAGTCCCATTTCATTCAGCAGCAAATGGAAGTGGCTCAGGAAAAATGGCCAGGGCTGCTGCTCAGTCGAGCGTTTGCTCACCACCCTGGTCATGTCTGGGCCGCGGGCACATCTGACAGTTCCTGTGGCTTCTTAGCTGGTGCAATTCTCTTGGGTGCTGCCACACAGTTCTCTGACTCCCCTGGGACTGTCTTGGCAGCTGCCCTTCCTGTCCCTTAGCTGCCTGCTGCCCTTGGGATGCTCAGGATTCTCAGGATCAGGACACCAGGGGAGGTCCCGGCTCTGTATGCCTTTGCCCAAATCGTGCCTTGCAGCCCAGAACTGCTCCACCCCTCCCCGTGCTCCGCACAGAGTGTCCTGACTCCTGGTGGCACCTGGAGCCTTGGAACTGGCACTCAGCCGGACCGTGGCCCCTGCCCTTCTCCCCTCAGCCTTGGAAGTGGCTTCTTGCCCTCATTTCCTCTCAGCAGGAGGCTTCACCCCTAAAGACCCGAAGCCCTTCCCACTCTTACGCTGCCTCTGAGTTCTCCACCTGGGTTTTGATCTAGGTCCTCAGCCTTGTTTTGCCCCCTTTTTCTTTGGAGTCACTGGCGAGGGGACATCCAGGTGCATGGAGCTATATGGGCCATTATGTTTTACATCCCTGTCATTATTTCATGCCTGGACATCTTTTATTTATTTTCCCTTTTCTAATTGAGGTCAAATGCATCACTGCAAAGTGTAGAATTTGGTGGCTTTCCGTGGGTTCACCACTTTCTAATTCCAGAAGATTTCTAGTGTTCCCCCAGAGAAACCCCATACCTGGTATCCCCCAAAATCTCACATGTAAAACAGTGCAAGAAGGTTTGGAGGAGAAATGATTGGGTTATAGCCTTAACCTAACCCGTGGATTGATCTCTGATGGGATTAGCTGGTGTTAATTGGAGGCAGGTGGAGTGTGGCTGGAGGAGGTGATTCTCTGGAGGTGTGGCTGTGGGGTAGATATTTGTATCTGATGAGTGAAATCTCACTCTGCTTCCTGATCTTCATGTGAGCTGTTTCCCTCTGCCTCACTCTTATGCCCTGATGTCTTGGTTCACCTTGAGCCCCAAGGGATGGAGCCAGCCTTCTATGGACTAAGATCTCTGAAACTCTGAGCCCCTAAATACCCTTTTCTCCTCTACAGTCGTGCTGGTTGGGTCATTTAGTCATAGCAGCATAAAAAGCTGACTAAAGTGGGTTGTTCCTACTGTTTGGCTGTTAGGAATAGTGGTGCCCTGAACATTCAGGTGTCAGTCTCCGTGTGGACATGTTTTCAGTGTTCTTGGGGTCATACCAGGAGTGGCCTTGCTGGGTCTTGAGAGACCTAGGTTGACTCTCTGAGAAACCATTAGACTCTTTTCTGTAGCAGCAGCACCATTTCACACTCCCACCAATGACATGCAAGGGTTCCATTTCCCACATCCTCGACCACACTTGCTACTTTCTTTTTCTAAAACATTAAGGCCATCCTCATGGTCATGGGTTGGCATCTTGTGGTTTTGATTTGCATTTCCCTAAAACTAATTGTTCGAGCCTCTTCCCATGTGCTTATTTGCCATTGGTCTACCTTTTTTGGAGAAATGTGCATCTGAGTCCTTTTCCTTTTTTAAACATTTGTGTCTCTATTGTTGATTTGTAATTGCTCTTTATATACCCCTACTCTCCCTTATCAAAAATATTCTACAAATATTTTCGCAAGTGTGTTTGCAAATGTTTTCCCTTGTGTGGATTTTCTCCATGTTCTTGATAGTGTCCTTTGATGCACTGAAGTTTTTCATCTTGATTAAATACAGTTTGACTATTTTTTTGGGGGGTTCTTGAACTGTTGCTGACATGTCTAAAAACCTGTGTCTTCACCCAGGTCACAAAGACTTACATTGATGTTATCTTCTAAGAGTTTTATAGTTTTAGCTCTTACATTTGGGTATTTGTCAGTTGTGAGCTAATTTTTATATATGGTTTG